TTTTTGTTATACCACTCAAACACGGAGAACAAAAATTATGGCCCTCAAAGAAGCCCGCACTTGCCGTTTCGCAGCTGAGCCCTGCGTCTTATGCAGTGTGACAAAGACCGTTCTTTATCTCTGGTTATTGCAGCCCGTGCAATGTATCCCAGTCAATCGTCGAGTGGTTGTACAAAAAACGGCCGAAGTTCTTCCACAATATCTACGTTATTTCCGCATCACCAAAAGAAGCACACACCAGTGTGCACAGTGGCTGCAAGGTGGGACCATACACCGCCTTCAAGGAGTCGAAGGATTCCTAATGTTGGCAACGTTTGGTGCAGCACTCCATCCCCTACGTCCACTATGCAATCTTGATGCGACGGAGCTCTGGAGTCAATCTGTGGAGCAAATTGCGAAAACTACTATTTCTGAGGTGATAGGGTCTTCTACATGCACAGCAAATGCTGCATTCTTCCCTGACACCAAGGCCCCGATGGTCGCACTATTGTCATGAAATCAATCGGGCCGCTTGCAGTTTGCGAGCTACATCGTTTCCTCAGCCACAACAGTCAGCTCTTCACTGATGTGCTGCCACAGGCCGCCGATTAAAGCGGTGCAGTCGATATCGCCAATACGGGTATTCATCACCTACTCCGGCTCCGTCCTATTCCCAACAGTAACTAGGGCATGAACACTAAATCTCTGCAGATTCAAGGCAGGCGAGTAATACATAGGTTTACAAAAATATCTCTACAACTCGGTCCGCACCAACTTGTGATCAATGCCAGGCAGGTGAGCGTAACCAGTGTGTGGGTGCGTCCGAGTAGCTACATCACTCGCACTCCGCGCAAGCTGGGTGTTCGTGATCGTCAGGTCATGAGTGGCGCACATTGATAGCAGCAGCTCACCATTCACGTGACCATTCACCATTCACCATTCACTGTGACGATACTGTACGACCTGATTACCCTTGTCCACACAACGGCATCATGTTCAACTTACGCGTTGAAATCGCCCAGTAGGAATGGTCGGTCGATCCTCGGTACAGACCGTATGACGGAGCAAAACTGAGTGTAGAACTGACCCATTGTGTTATCAGGATGACACACACTGGGACCGTACGTGCTAAAAAAGGTGTAAATTCAGAACGTCGACGACGCAGGCGTAGGGTCGTTAATCGTGGGCTGATGCCAATTGACCATTTAGACCGTCGGATAGTGCAGTCAACTGCATGTTCACGTGCTACTGTGATCCTTCTCTTGCACTGCTGCTGCTTACTTCACCTGTGAGACTACGAACGCCTGAATTCCCAGTCATGTGCCCACCCAACAGAAGGACCACAAAAGGCTAGAACTAGGTAGACACATACACACAGGGAGAGAGAGAGAGTCTACCTACAGCGATTGAAAACGTGATTCCGGAACGGGCAGTTCCGAGAAAAGTGCTATTCCCTGCAAAACCAACAAGCAGAAGGGGGTTTATAATGTGCTGAACTCACATAAACCGATTCTTTCTGAGGACTTCGACTGACTGTGATAATGAGATCCCGGCTACTCTGGGTAGATGATTGTTGGATCATCGCAGCATCATGTTCCAAGTTCAACCGTTGGCATTCGTTGGTCACTTCCTCGGGATTTTGTTCAATTCTGCTCAGTACTCTTGTTCCGACATCAACATCTTTGATCGCTTGAAGACCACACACATAAATAAGGCACCTGTACTGATCACCAGTCGTGTTGTGAAACAGCGACCGTCCCCACTCATGATTCACGCGACTCAAGTAAGTAACCCAGTCTTCATCGTCTCACCTGGTCATTGTAAGGCACCTGTATCGGACATTGAATAGTGACGACTGCTCTCCAAATATCTGCGACAAAGTAGCAACCGCTTCATCAAATGTTAAATCAGTGCTCTGCTTCGGTGATATGAAATTCATAAATTTTTCATGCTCGGACGCACCCGATTTCCGCAGTGTGAGGCGAACGCTCTTGTCCTCTGAGACACCGGCTAAATCAACGCGAAACAAGCGTTGGTATTTATGGAACCACGATTCAAAGGTAATACCGGTCTCGGCATTGTAATAGAATTCACACTTGCTGGGCCAAAGTTACTGTTGTGGGGCAACTTCCACGTGCTCCTGCTATCCAGCCTGCTTGTAGTGACAAATTATTGGACAGAATTCCGATCAGCCTGACCTGTGCATTCTCAAACTGCGCTTGCTGTTGCTGCAACAGAGCCTGCAATTGTTCAAAACTGACTGACATCTTTGGGTTCTTCTGACTCTTATCGCCAATGTTGTACTGCTGATGCGTACTTCACCTGTGAGACTACGACCGTCTGAATACCCAGTCATGTGCCCACCCAACCGAAGGACCACAAAAGGCTAGAACTCGATAGACACACACACACACACACACACAGGGAGAGAGTATACCTACAGGAGAGGTCAACTTTATTTATTAATAACCGAAACATGCTAATCTTGGAGGTCAAAGTTATCCACTCTTCCGCGTCTGATTGTCAACCAGTGTGAATGAGTTCCACTCCACAGGTTAGTCATATTGATGGAAAAGTTCGATTCCATTGACGCGGGCTTGTATTTGTTGGCCGATCAATTCGCACTCGATTCCCAAATTCGGCGGAAAAGTCAAAGGTCGTACCACGTCCGTGCTGATGACCTTTGCATGTAACAGATAGCCTACGTGCTCCGCTTACGTCTCGATTAATTTTCCACCCAGTAGAACATGTACCTAGAGTCATTCTCGAACAGCTTGCCCTGGTCAGCGAGCAGCCTCACTGAGTGCAGCAATGTCAATGTCGTGACGCGCAAGTTCCGTCTTGACCAGTGCCGTGTATGGCTTGGGACACATTCGTGTTCCGTTCCAGTAGTGTGCGCCAACAAAATTGAGAAATTTACCTCTTCCAAGTCACAGCGAAAAGTCTTCAGTCGTGGGCCGATGCAAGTCGACTCTTTTACCAGCTGGCAGTCAGATAGTAGAAATCCGATCCTATGTTTACGTGGTGCTATTGTGGCGGCATCCACTTAATATAACGTGAAACCGTTAGCAAGCTCATGTAGCTCACCTTGGGCAGTGAGCCGTGTCTCAATCAGTAATACAATTTCGATCCAGTAGCGCGCGTTTCATCGCGATCAGTGCAGGGCGTCGCATGTTTTCGCCTGTCCACCCCGATGTATGCAACAGATAATGCGACAAATCTAACTCCCCCACCACCGCGCACGAAAGGCGCGGGATGCAACGGTTGACCAACCACCGTGTAGGTTCGGCTATGCTCACACTTACCCAGCCTGATGAACTGCGACTTGACCGGATTGATCGGAAGGTTGGCCTCTGCAGACCATGTGGAGAGGCGGTCGAGATCCCGCTGAAGTACATCACAATCATTGGGTTTTCGGATTACTCTCCACACCTTCAAGTCATCTGCAAACAACGCACAAGGTGATTGGAGTAGCTAAGGCACATCGTTTACATGGATCAGAAACAAAATCGGCCCGAGTACAGTGCCTGGGGGCACGCCGCTGCTTGACGGATATCAGTCGGTTAGATGGTTGTCCACCTGGACCCTCCACTTTCGATCAACAAGGAAATTCCTGATCTATTGGTGCAGCGAACCACTAACACCGCACATCCTCAGCCTGTCGAGGAGCACTGCATGATTTACCTTATCAAAAGCCTTACTGAAGTCAATGTAAATGACGTCGACTGATTGGCCTTGGTTCAGCGCTTGTAACCATTCGTGCCTCGTCAACAGTAGGTTGGAGATGCAAGAGCGACCATACATGAAACCATGCTGTGCGGGAGTCAACAGGCTTTTCGACTCGAGAAGCTGCAGAAGGCTCTTCTTCACGATCTTCTCGAGCGTCTTTGCCAAAACAGCGGTCAGGCAGATCGGTCGGTAGTTATCCACTTTGCTTGGGTTACCACCTTTCGGTATGGGCTTTACGACTGAGCATTTCCAGTCATCCGGTCATCATTCAAAATGACCTTTATTCCCTCGAGACAGTTTTAAAGGTAAGTAATGAGGTTTTCAGCAGAAAATCAAGTATCATACGCCATGGTCGTCTGATACTCGAACGATCTATTTGATTCAACAACAAACACCTATGTGTATAATTGTTTACCTGCGAATTTCAACACTAGATAGCGCGAATCAGACAATCTCAGTCAGAGTTAAACTGTTTAAAATCCTTACCCGTCCCGTTTTGGAGTAACGAAGCATAATTTGTTGCAGTATGAAGAAATCTGACAGAATAAGGGATGGAAAGCCTACATAGATTAAAGCATTATTTAACATTACTGCACAATCCGACTCATGCGAAAACCTATTGCGACTTGCCTGCATTGGAGTCGCAACATAGTCCAACCTGAGAACTTCGTAAGAAAATTCACCATGGTTATACCAAGGTGCATGACAAATATGCGATCTACAGGCTTTCTAATTAGATATGCTTCCAAGTGGAATAGGCTTCGGATCACAATCAGGCCGTGTGATGGTGAAGTAGCATTTCTTAGAGAACTCAGAAGCTACTTGACTTGAACAAATTGAAGACCTTGTTATCGTACAGGAGATCGCCTGATAAACTATTTCAAGTAGGCTCAGATAACATCTAATGGATGAGGTAAAAAGAATTCACGCAATGCAAGCAATTTTTAATGTTTGTGATATCATCGTAGCCCATCAAGACTGTTCGCACACTCCATACTACACATTAGTAGCGTGGTATACACAGGCTTCACTGCTTGGCTTAGCTTAAAGACATGAAACCCGTTCGTGTCGGGGCGCGCTCTGACAATCATTCGCCACAACACATATGCTTGTAGAACTTTCTCTTTACCAGTACATGCCATGGGTATCAAACCCTGACAACATTGGCAATGGTTGTTCTGGATAAGCCTGCGCGCTTTAAAGATTAGGGCCGTTACTTCGATTGGATGGCGTACCGGTGCGGTAGATGTCTGATCACCACTACAGAGGCCACGAAAAGAAATAACCTAAACTTAGTTGAAAGGTTTATTCACATTAGTTTTGAACCGATCACCAAGAAGAATGAGCCAATCACCGTAAAAACGTGCTACGTGGTCATCCGGTGATTTGTGATCTCGGCGATGCCATCCATCAAGTGTGGCTAGTCGGCCCCAGCGCTTCTGATTGTCTCTGCGAACACGTCTCCAAAATTGGTAGGAATTTCTATCCAGTTGGTTTAATGGGGGAGGTTTTCGATCAGTTCTTAGGTTCCATAACCATTCAGGGTACTGACTACAACGGCAACGTTAGGTGGTCATTGTGATGCCTCACCTGTCTGGCTTCAAAGGAATAGGATCTTCGGATACTCTGAAATTGCAGCAACAAAAATTGACCAATTTATTGGCATCTGTCTCAACGGGCAGTTCCTTCAATTTTGTCACGGCTGCTATTCCTTTCACTGAGAACGCTAGGTAAGTGGGAAATGATACACTCACCTATTTTTCCCCTTTTATGGAATTCCCTGACGGGTATTTGGAATGTTGCAATACATCGAGTTCGACGAAAGAGTTCTAACAGGAAGTGACTCTAAGAATGAAATAGTATCCGTGATTAAGGCTGCACAATGTACACGATCACCATTATCATACGCGAAATGTCAGTACTATAATTTGTGAATGCGTCAATGTCAGAGAACAATGTGGACAATTTATGGTGAGGAGAAACAAAAATGAAATAACAAAATGTACAAATCAATGCACCAGAATCGAGATATAGACACCTCACAGGAAATATGCAGTCGTGAGTATGCTTACTATCCACCCCAAGCTCATCTCCACATATTTAACCGTTCTGAAGGTTATCCTGTTGAATCGGAAAACCATACAGTCCTATAAGACAGTTCTTGGAGTAAACTGCAAGTGTTTGAGTGTTCTGTTTACAACCGGTTAGGATTCTGCACATGAAGACTAGCGAGGAACAACGAATGACTAAATCGGTCAAAACAGAAGCGAGGACAGATAACTATTTGAACAAAGGATCCCACTTTATATCCGCGTTCGATGTAAGACAGACAGGTGATCAAAGCGTGCTCCAACTATGTGTTCCAGTAGTGTCTAATTGCCAGCTTCTAAAACGGGCATAAGTAGTGTTGTAATGCACCGTCGAATAAAGGCTGGGGTATCGTGCATTGTCAATTTAATGCTGGCAAGTGTATGGGTCGTGGCAATTCCAGTGACACCTAGCAGAATGCAGAGCATTACTGGAGATTATCACAAACAAACGGCAGCGGAATATGTTTCGAATTCAAAGCAGCAGTCGAAAACCATGTTTTTGGTTACTGATTCGAGAAAAATGGGCAAGCCCAACGCCGTTAAAACTGATTCCACGCAGTACTGGGCGGGTTCTAGAACGGAGCTTTCCAGCTGACAAGTTTGATGGACTCAAAACACATATGAAGTGAGAGAGGTAGAGGCAGTAAATGACAAGTGTAGGTTCTTAAATAAGATATACGTTATTGTTAAGGGAAGAACAGCATCAACGCGCTCTCTCAATAAGCGCAAGATCGGGTTCAGCACTTACACACTTACACAGTACAATCGGTATAACGCCCCCAAGTCTCCTGCGTTCCGATTGGATAATCGACATTGAATTTATAATCCATGTCAAATATGCGGTACGAACGTAAGTAAAACCTACCACTGCGTTGATGTGTCGAACTCTCCTTTGTCCGCGCAATTTAGAGATCGTGGTAAAATCATTTGCGAAAGCTACACCATTCTCCGGAACATATAAAGGAAGATTGAACTGTTCTGATCATTTAGAACGAATCGCTTGTAATGATCACGATAAAAAAGAAATCGCAGCGCACGCAGCAACTACGAGTGTACCGCTGACGTCGGTTGTGACGCAAGTAATGGGCCAGTCCGACGCGTCTCAATAAGAAAGGAATCACGGACACAAAGAAGGTAGACTGGTCTCGAAGGAGTAAGGTCGCATAAACCATATTTTTATCCTGGAGCAGATGCTAGACCAGTGATCCAAACACCGCCGGTGAGCTAGAGTAGCAACAACGTCGCATACCACTCAGTCTATCACAGTATCTTGATCGACGTAGTTACCCGCAGCGGTGAGCTCAGGATGAATGCAAAGAATGCATACGCCCAACGCTCGGATACCTGAGCTCAAGTCACGGCCTATAATGAGATATACGACGTTTGCTCAGCCCCATGCTGAGGCTGATGTTGCATTCTTGTTGCTTCTTCACCTCAGTTGGGCTAAATCAACTTACACTTAAATTAGGTCTCTTAAAGCTGGATAAATTGCATTCCACTTTATTTGGTTTGTTCTGCCTACCTGAATAATCTTCCATTAACTTGCACACGTTGCTTACGCTAATTGTGGTTAGCGTTAACTTATCGCATTTGTAGCATTTTTTTAAATAACTGTTGGACATTTTTACTTATCACAGATTCGCTGGTAACCAACTTACCTCATATGCTAATTTAGGGTAGAATTCCGTCGGCATAGCCGTATGCTTTAACAAATATATTTTATCTGATGATGTCATTTCAAGTGATTGGCTGTCGTTTGACATCCAAGGTGTGGATGCTTTTGATGTGAAAGTTGACAAGGTGCCTACTTGTCTAGTACTCACTAACTCGACTATACTGGCTCCAAGACACAGTTGCTCGTTGCTAGAGAGGATGGGGTGTACGGTCCTCGTGGCCGTGCTGGGCTCGAAAAGTGGTTCCATGCACTCAGTGAGGCGAAGACTACGCTTTGTATACGCTTGTCCCAAATACAGCGTGTTTGCGTTTGCCTATGAAGGATTGTGGACCGGCTCTGTTGATGAAACGTGGCTGCCATCTACATGCCTCCCAGTCTTATTCCTTCGGGTTTACATTGGATATGGGGTGTGTGGGCGCAACTATGGATGGTGCAGCGCAAGCCACTCATGGTCCTTCTGTAGGGTCGGCCAGTGGTCTGCACGTTTGCTTTGCAACCATAAGGTCACCGGTTCGAATCCGCGTAGGGGTGGGCGTCCTCGCGGTATACTCAGCCCGCGCGCGACTGGTGGTGGTCGCGCGGCAGCGAAGCGCCGTTACGGCGTACAGCTGACACATTATTATTATTTTTATCCTTCTGTAGGCGCAGGCGTCCTATGGCTGTCCCCGTGGAGGCCGCAGTGACAGGCAAATCCGGAAACGGATATATATATATATATATATATATATATATATATATATATATATATATATATATATATATATATATATAGTTATTCCATATATTCTCGTCACGTGATTCGAGTTTCGCGCCATATCAGCAAGTGTATCGAGCCATTGGCAATCCTCAACCAGGAAGACGTACATGGTCGACGATGGTTAGACAAGGCAACAATCTCATGTTTTGCCGCCGTTGTCGGCTGGCCTCCACGCGTTCCCTTCCAATTCAATTCCGTGCGAGCAAATAAGGCGCAGAGTGGTAAGCGCTCGCATGACATGCGTAGGACGTGGCCAACGAAGCAAGGAAATGAAAATCTCATGTTTCCCAAGATGCGACGCCGGACTTCACCGTTACGAACCCGGTGCTGCCACCACACATGGGCTATCCTCCGCAAGCATGTATTTTCGAAGACCGAAAGTCAACGCATGTCGTCCACACGAATCGGCCAGGACTCACTTCCGCACAGCAGTACCGCACGAACACAAGCGTTGCAGACCCTCCCCTTTAAGGAGAGGGATATATCCCGATGATACCACAAATGGCTGACCTTTGGCGATGCGAAGAGATACCTCCTTCTCAATAGTGCCATCAGCAGAAATGCAGCTTTCTAGGTAGACGAAATTGTCCAACAGCGCTAGCTATGTTCTTTCGATAGTAGGTGAGGGTGCAGATGACTTCCAGTCCTGGAGTAGCACTTTACACTTCAAGGGAGAAAAGCGCATGCCACGCGTAGACGTTTCAATCGCCCGATGATTCAAAATGAGTTGTATACTCAGTGAATCGTCGCCGAGCAGGGTGGTATCATCGGCACAATCTAAGTCGGTCACGGGATTGTCAGAAAGAATTTAAGAACCAGGGTTTTGGGAACCCTGCAGGGATCACAACAGGACGCGCTGAATTGCAAAGTTTAAAATGAATGGGGACAAAAGGCACCTGTCACACGCTACTAGTGATAGCGAAAGTGAGGAAAGCTCACCACAGACTCTCACTCTAAATGACAGTTAGAAACAAACCGCCCGAACGATATATATATATATATATATATATATATATATATATATATATATATATGGATATATATATATATATATATATATATATATATATATTATACACAATCTGTGGTACAGATATTGTGCCATCGGAATCATGGCTGAATAGGAAAACAGTATGAATAATAAGAAAAAGCAACAACAAATACTTTTTTGTCTATTCTACCACTCAGTTTTTGAAAAAAATTTTCAGTTTGTTCTTCTTTTAGGGGTAGGAAGAAGGGACACCGCAACAAACCGATGCACACGTCCGCCATTGACATCGATCTTGAGCCATAACTTCCAAGGTCTTCAACCATGGTTGGCGGCATCCGGTTTCGGATTTGCCTGTCACTGTGGCCAGCCACAGGACGCCTGCGCCTACAGTGGGACCATGGATGGCTTGCGCTGCACCACCCACAGCTCCATCCACACATACCCCATATCCAGTGTAAACCCGAAGGAATAAGACCGGGAGGCATGCGGATGGGAACCACGTTTCATCAACGGAGCCGGCCCACACTCCTTCACAGACCAACACAAGCACACTGTATTTGGGGAATCAACCGCACACAAGGCGGTGGCTGGACCGTAGTCCGCTCCACATTGACTGCATGGAACCACTCTTCGAGCCTAGCACGACCACAAGGACCGTGCACCCCGTCCCCTCCAGCAACGATCAACTGTCTCCTGGAGCCAGTATGGACGAGGTAGTGGGTAATAGACAGGTAGGCACCTTGTCAACATGCACATCAAGCGCAGCCACACCTGGGATGTCAAACAACAGCCAATCATTCGAAACGCCGATATCGAATAAAGTAAACGCATATGGCGACATAAATACTCGCTAAATGAGCATATAGAAGAAATTGGTTATAAGTGAATCCGTGATAAGTACAAAATGTCCGAAAGTTAGTTAAAAAAATATCACGCGATAAAATTACGCAAGTTTACCACAATTTGCGTGAGCGACGTGTGCAAGTAAGGAGAAGATTATCAAGTACGCAGAACAAACCAAATAAGATGTAATGAATGTTATCCACATCAAAAAGACCCAGTTTAAGTGTAAGTTGGTTTAGCCCAACTGCGGTGAAGAAGCATCATGAATGCAACATCAGCCTCAGCAAGGGGCATATATATATATATATATATATATATATATATATATATATATATATATATATATATATATATATATATATATATATATATATATATATATACATGGTACAGATATTGTGACATCATAGAAAAACAGTATGAATAATAAGAAAATAACAAAAATAAAAGCAGTTTTCTTTTTGCTATTTTGAAATTTGTGAAGGGAAAATCCTGCACGAAATTTCTTAAGAAACGCCTCCCTGCAGATACATTCCGCTCGCTGGATTATCTAGTGGAATTACGCTGTTGCATCGCATGCGAGTCTACCCGTGTGAATACCTACACGAAATGTCTTCGGAGGTTTTTTTACCCTCGCCAGTTTGTAAAGACGTTGAGAAATGGAAAAATGCCTGTCACCTCACGGAATTTGCGATGGCTGACCAGATCCCACATTGAAGCCTGTAACCAGCGCACTGCCGAGTTGAACGCGAGGATACGATGCGTCGACCAAGTCCTTAATAGTCTGAATCTTGTGTCGTGCAAAATTTTTCAACTTTCTTCGGCATTTACTGATGAAAACACAGTCAAGGAAGAAACAACAACTTATGAGCGCCATGTCATCTGGATTCATTAATGACCAGCTACCGGTAGCGCCTGAGAAGTACGTGCTAAACGTTTCCACCATCTCATTAAGTCGCTCACAACTTGAAGATTTAGCTTTAGGGTCCAAGTTTTCAGCAGCACCGAAAAAGTGCAATAGAATAGAGATTAAAGCACAGTTCGAACATTTGTATGAGCAAGTGTCCAGTTTGACACCAGTCACTGACGATAGATGCGGTTGGTTTAAGACTAAGACAATGGACTTAGCTAACCAGTTTTGCGTTACTGAAACTGAAAGATGCAGCATTTTAAAAAGGAACACTGGGAACCGTTGGAAAATCTACGCCCAAGAGAATGTGTCACTAATGAATCCTTACAAGGGATCAGGAGTGGTCATTATGAAAAAATGAGATTATATTAGAAAAAATGCATACAATTCTTGCAAACACTAGCAGCTTCGATCGCGACCTAACGGGCTGTGATAGAACCAAACATGTAGAAAGATCCATAGTTCGTGAAGTTAAAAAGTTACAGAAGGCTGGGTTGATTGATGTGAAGATCATGACACAATTGTGCCCGCGTGGGGCTCGACCTCCCCATATGTATGGTTTGCCGAAGACATCATCATCAACAATATCAATATATCAGCCACATGAACTGATGCTTCGCTGTCATACAACCAAGATGACCTATGAAACAAAGAATAAGAAGAGGGCGACAAACGGGAATTACTTGAAAACCTTAATGCGCTAAACAAACATTCTGGGTCAAGGCGCCTACACCTTGTATTACCAACATACCGTCACATCCAGCTGACTATCGTGCAAAGATAAGGCGGCATCGGCGAGACAGCTTCCTTGCGGCTTTCACTGCCACGCGTCATAATCAGCCATTACCCCGCAGATAACAGCACCAAACACACTTCAAACAGGCAATCCAACTAGGAGACGGCAGCAGACGCGCCACTGGTGTCGGTTGCTAGCCATGTCTAGTAAAGTCTCGAACCAACCACAAGGTGAGTCACGTGGATTCAAGCCTGGAAGACAAGACGGACCAACGGCACCCAGTTTGATCGTCAGTGACTTCATTTCCCGCTGCCAATTCAACTTCTATCCACTTCGAGCCTTGCACCACCCTAAACCTAGCAGACTAAACAAGGCAATCCTAGGTAAGCGGTGACCAGGCATGCGTAGCACGTGCCCGAGCCAACGCAACTTATTCAGTGCTATCTGTTGTTCTAGGGAGCTAGCATGATTATCACCACCTAGTATTCGCCTACGCACATCATCGTTGCGGACACGCTGGTGCCATCCGACACCATCAATGCTTCGCAGACAATGATGATCAAAGAGTTGAAGGTGCCTCAGATCTTCAGACCGAAGGGGTCAAGTCGCACTACCACTACTACCGTGGCCTTGTAAACACGGCCTTTCAGAAGAAGGGAGTAGGAGTAGTAACAGTAATCTCAGCAGTCTATCAAGTAGACACAGAGTCAACATAAAACCATGGAGATCAGCGGACAAGGGACCGTCATCGCGTCAGAATCATCGAGGCATGGTAGTTGAAGGTGAGCAACACAATTCAGCTAATATGCCGCACTGTCGCAAAGAGACTGGACCTTAACGTGGCGCGACGGTTTGCGTACCTCCTTGACCCATTGAGCTATACTGGGTGGTGCCTCCGGGCATCTTGAGAGCTACTCCTACTAGGTTGGTCAATGGTGAGAGGTTAGACAAACTCAGTCTCCTGGTCCTCCAGTTTGGGGGTTTGAAATGGGATGGCGTCCATTTCTGTGAAACTAGATCACTGCCACCCCGCTGACCTGCGGACAGGCTTTTGAGCCAAAGGCTTTGGATGAGGACACTAATCGTCCTCCTGTCTAGGTCTGGGCGCCCTGGCAGTATCTCAGCCCACATACAACCATGATATCTTCTTCAAACATAAACTTCATCCTGCATCGGCCGTCGCGCAGATTTATTACTCGAACACTACAGGCCGCGTCAGGGTCTATGGTATCCTATCGGATAGCTTTCCGACCACAAGTGGCGTTCGTCAGGGTTGTCCGATTTCCCCATGCCTGTTCAATTTCGTCGTGGATTCTATCATGCAGTGTTCCCTGACGGAATCCAATGATGTAGGCGTTGAAGTGCTGCCTGATGAAAGGTTAACTGATCTAGATTATGCGGACGATATCGTCTTGCTTTTCGACAATGTTGGGGCGGCACAATCAACCCTGAATAGCCTATCCAGAGTGGTCCCATTATTTGGTATGCACTTCGCACCTTCAAAGTGCAAAGTGTTGCTGCAGGACCACCAGCCACTTGAGGACCCCTTGACGCTTGCTAACGAGGAACTCAAGGTGGTTGATCATTTCACTTATCTTGGCAGCTGCATCAGCAATGATGGGCGCATAGAAACTGACATGAGCTCACGCATTGTAAAGGCGAGAGCTGCCTTCTTGAACCTGCGGCATCTTTGGCGACAGAAGGGAGTTTCCCTCCGTCTGAAAGGCCGTGTATACAAGGCCACAGTGAGGGCCGTTCTGCTCTATGGTAGTGAAACTTCGCCCCTTCGGTCTGAAGATCTGAGGCACCTTCAAGTCTTTGAGCATCGTTGTTTGCGAAGCATTGATGGTGTCGGATGGCACCAGCGTATCCGCAACAATGATGTGCGTAGGCGATTACTAAGTGGTGATGATCATGCTAGCTCCCTAGAACAACAGATAGCACTGAATAAGTTGCGTTGGCTCGGGCACGTGCTACGCATGCCTGGTCACCGCTTACCTAGGATTGCCTTGTTCAGTCTACCATGTGTAGGATGGCGCAAGGCTCGAGGTGGACAGAAGTTGACTTGGCAGCGGGAAATGAAGTCACTGACAACCAAACTGGGTGCCGTTGGTCCGTCTCGCCTTCCGCGCTGGAGTCCACGTGACTCGCCTTGTGCTAGGTTCGAGACTTTGCAGGACATGGCTAGCAGCCGACACCAGTGGCGCGTCTGCTGCCGTCTTCTAATCAGATTGCCAGTTTAAAGTGTGTTTGGTGCTGAGTTATCTGCGGAGTAATGGCTGATTATGACGTGTGGCAGTGAAAGCCGCAAGGAAGCTGTCTCGCCGATGCCGCCTTATCTTTGCACGATAGCCAGCTGTTTGCGACGGTACGTTGTCTACACAAGGTGTAGGCGCCTTGACCCAGAATGTTTGCTCAGGGCATTAAGGTTTTCAGGTAAGTCCCCCTTCTCTCCCTCTTCTTATTCTCTATTCCATAGGCCCTCAGGGTTGTATGGCAGCGAAGCATCAGTTCAAATGGCTGATGTACTGCTGTTGATGATGATGATGATGATGATGATGATGATGATGATGACGACGATGATGATGATGATGATGATGATGATGATGACGATGATGATGATGATGAGGATGATGATGATGATGATGATGATGATGATGAGGATGATGATGAGGATGATGATGATGATGATGATGAGGATGATGAGGATGATGAGGATGATGAGGATGATGAGGATGATGAGGATGATGATGATGATGAGGATGATGAGGATGATGATGATGATGAGGATGATGATGATGATGAGGATGATGATGATGATGAGGATGATGATGATGATGATGAGGATGATGATGATGATGATGATGATGATGATGATGATGATGATGATGATGATGATGATGATGATGATGATGATGATGATGATGATGATGATGATGATGATGATGATGATGATGATGATGATGATGATGATGATGATGATGATGATGATGATGATGATGATGATGATGATGATGATGATGATGATGATGATGATGATGATGATGATGATGATGATGATGATGATGATGATGATGATGATGATGATGATGATGATGATGATGATGATGATGATGATGATGATGATGATGATGATGATGATGATGATGATGATGATGATGATGATGATGATGATGATGATGATGATGATGATGATGATGATGATGATGATGATGATGATGATGATGATGATGATGATGATGATGATGATGATGATGATGATGATGATGATGATGATGATGATGATGATGATGATGATGATGATGATGATGATGATGATGATGATGATGATGATGATGATGATGATGATGATGATGATGATGATGATGATGATGATGATGATGATGATGATGATGATGATGATGATGATGATGATGATGATGATGATGATGATGATGATGATGATGATGATGATGATGATGATGATGATGATGATGATGATGATGATGATGATGATGATGATGATGATGATGATGATGATGATGATGATGATGATGATGATGATGATGATGATGATGATGATGATGATGATGATGATGATGATGATGATGATGATGATGATGATGATGATGATGATGATGATGATGATGATGATGATGATGATGATGATGATGATGATGATGATGATGATGATGATGATGATGATGATGATGATGATGAATGATGATGATGATGATGATGATGATGATGATGATGATGATGATGATGATGATGATGATGATGATGATGATGATGATGATGATGATGATGATGATGATGATGATGATGATGATGATGATGATGATGAGATGATGATGATGATGATGATGATGATGATGATGATGATGATGATGATGATGATGATGATGATGATGATGATGATGATGATGATGATGATGATGATGATGATGATGATGATGATGATGATGATGATGATGATGATGATGATGATGATGATGATGATGATGATGATGATGATGATGATGATGATGATGATGATGATGATGATGATGATGATGATGATGATGATGATGATGATGATGATGATGATGATGATGATGATGATGATGATGATGATGATGATGATGATGATGATGATGATGATGATGATGATGATGATGATGATGATGATGATGATGATGATGATGATGATGATGATGATGATGATGATGATGATGATGATGATGATGATGATGATGATGATGATGATGATGATGATGATGATGATGATGATGATGATGATGATGATGATGATGATGATGATGATGATGATGATGATGATGATGATGATGATGATGATGATGATGATGATGATGATGATGATGATGATGATGATGATGATGATGATGATGATGATGATGATGATGATGATGATGATGATGATGATGATGATGATGATGATGATGATGATGATGATGATGATGATGATGATGATGATGATGATGATGATGATGATGATGATGATGATGATGATGATGATGATGATGATGATGATGATGATGATGATGATGATGATGATGATGATGATGATGATGATGATGATGATGATGATGATGATGATGATGATGATGATGATGATGATGATGATGATGATGATGATGATGATGATGATGATGATGATGATGATGATGATGATGATGATGATGATGATGATGATGATGATGATGATGATGATGATGATGATGATGATGATGATGATGATGATGATGATGATGATGATGATGATGATGATGATGATGATGATGATGATGATGATGATGATGATGATGATGATGATGATGATGATGATGATGATGATGATGATGATGATGATGATGATGATGATGATGATGATGATGATGATGATGATGATGATGATGATGATGATGATGATGATGATGATGATGATGATGATGATGATGATGATGATGATGATGATGATGATGATGATGATGATGATGATGATGATGATGATGATGATGATGATGATGATGATGATGATGATGATGATGATGATGATGATGATGATGATGATGATGATGATGATGATGATGATGATGATGATGATGATGATGATGATGATGATGATGATGATGATGATGATGATGATGATGATGATGATGATGATGATGATGATGATGATGATGATGATGATGATGATGATGATGATGATGATGATGATGATGATGATGATGATGATGATGATGATGATGATGATGATGATGATGATGATGATGATGATGATGATGATGATGATGATGATGATGATGATGATGATGATGATGATGATGATGATGATGATGATATGCCGCAGGAAGAATGGAAAATTTTGACAAAAAGTAGAACACAACATTTTAGTCTGTTTTCCACACGCCGATTTTTCTCTTTGTTTTCACTTTCAATATTTGAAGTATTAAACATGTGAATCAACACAATACTGTACACAATTCTTCCAGTGATTCCGGTTGCTGGCCATGCCTTCAAGAGTGCTAAGCCATTGACACTCCACATCTTTGGATCCCCATCCTGGAAGATCTACGGATCCTACAGCGGCTAGACACGACGTCAGCGATTTCATGTGCTGCCGCCAAGTGGAAGGTGGTCGCCTCCAGCCAGGCTCTTGACGAGCAAATAGAGCGCGACGCGATAGACGCTCAGGTGTCATACATAGGATGTGACCGAGCCATCTCAACTGGAGCAACAAAACTAGTTTTTTAAAGGGAATACTCGCATTCCCCAAAATGCGACGTCGGACGTCATTACTATTAACTCGATGTTGCCACCAAACACGAGCGATCCTGCTTAAGCAACCGTTATCGAAGGCAGAAAGACGACGCATGTCTTCCACGCGAATCGGCCAGGACTCGCACCCATACAACAGTACTGAGCGAATTGATGCGCTGTAAACGCGGCCCTTTAGTGAGAACGAGACGTCGCGTTGATGCCACAAGTGCCTCAGATTGACAAAAGCTGATCGAGCTTTAGTGATACGAAGAGAAACTTCTTTTTTGATAGTACCGTCAGCAGAAACACAGCTCCCAAGGTAGACGAAACTATCTACCTGTTCAAGTTGTACACCTTCGAGAGTGAGTACGGGAGCAGGTGAAAGCCAAACCTTGAGCAGTACTTTACACTTTCGATGGGGCGAAGCTCATGCCATACTTAGATGCTTCAACCGCCAAACGATCCAGAATGAGTTGAATACCATGAGCATCGTCACCAAGTAAGGCGATATCATCAGCACAATCTAAGTAGGTCGCGTGCTCACGCGGCAGAAACTCTAGGCTAAAATGTTGGAAACCTTCTAGGGCATTCGACAGAACGTCTTCGATTGCGAAGTTGAAGAGGAATGGGGACATAGGGCAGCCCTGTCGCACACTGCTGTTGACAGTGAATTGCGAGGAAAGCTTGCCATAGACCCTCACTCTGCCGGATGTATGAAGGTAAGTGCTCGTAAGATGGCGGTAAATTTCTCTGGCACCCCGTTCTTTAGCAAGCAACGCCATAAAGCACGCCGATCAACGGAGTCAAAAGCGGCACGTATGTCTAGGAATGCAACGATAGTGGGCCGGTGATAAATGTGGCGATGTTCGAGGAGCTGGCGGAGCGTGAAGATTTGATCCACGCATTCGCGGCCGGGACGGAAACCAGCTTGTTCTACACGGTAGTATGATTAACGTACTGGGGATAGTCTGCGAAGCAGAATGGATGCCAATAGCTTAGAGGCGACCGAAATAAGACTAATGCCGCGATGATTTGCACATGAAGTGCGGGCGCCTTTCTTGAAAATCGGGACAAGAACTGATTCGCCCCAAGAGGAAGGCACTTTCTCTTCATGCCAGATTTTTGCGAACAGCGCGGTCAGCTGGTTAATGATCGCCACACCGCCGTACTTGAATAGTTCCGGAGGGAGTCGCTCTGAGCTGGCAGCCTTGAACAGCTTCAAGCGTCGAATCTCGAGGCAGACTTCCGCTTCACTGGGTGGATTCAGTGGGAAGAGCCAGGGTAGACAACGAGGTGTACTGCATGTACTGATGGATGGCGGAGGCCAGTTGAACTGCGAGTGAAAGTGCTCGGCCCAGCGGTCCATGCGCCTCTGTTGGCTGGTGATCGGAGACTCATCCACCTCACAAATGTCCTCACTGACACCAGGCTTCCTGAGGAAAGTGGACCAAATGAGCTGGAAAAGGCTGCGAGTGTTGCCAGAGAGGGCAGCGGTCTCCATCACGAAAGCACGCTCAGACCACCATATCTCGCGATCCTTGCGTAGGCTTTACGTGAGCAGCCGGTTGGCAGAACGGCGCCGTTCGTTGCAATCTGATTCCGCGGGGATATCTTCGCGACGTTCGAACAGCTCCAGAGAACGAGCAGAAATCCAAGCCTTCAAGGGGCGTCGAGTTAGGCCGCGGCATGACTGTCTGGAAATGGTCATCGCTTTCCGTATACATATCCAGTGTTGTTCCACTTCTTGCGGTGGATTGCAACTGAGTGCATATGCCAGTGAAGACTGATAGCTCGCCTGGACAGAGGAATCAGTTAATCTGTTTACATCAATCTTGCGGTGCTTCGTGTTTCGGGATCCTCCAAAACACATACAGATTTTCGCGCAGACCAGAGCATGATCTGAGTCAACGAACGTGGACCAAAATGACCTGCAGTCCAGTATGCTGCCGCGCCATCTGAAGCTAATTACAATGCAATTTGAGACCACGGTTGAAAAAGGGGGCGTCACGTTGCGGAACGCTTCTTCGTACGCCTGAAGTTAGTGCTCGAAAGAAACAGACGGTTGTCTTCACACAATGTGAGAAGTCTCTCTCCGTTATCAGAGCGGTTGTCATCGAGCGCGTGATGACCACCAATGTGGCGTTCGTTTGGTAACAGGCGGCCAACCGGTGCATTAAAATCCCCAGCAGGGATAACGACATCCGACATTTTAGCATTAGTTAAGAGCTGTTGTAGATCCCGGTAGAATTCGTCCTTGACCTAGTCGCCACTGCAGTTAGTTGGAGCGTACACGGAGAGCACAAACAACTTGCGTCTCTCTTCGCGGTGCTTGTTGATTCTACATAAACCCCGAAGCCGAACTGCACATAGTCGGCTGTTAATCGGGAACCAGCCCAGTAGTGCCGCCTCCGCCTTGCCACTTAGTGCTATACCTACACCAGCCAAACCCGCTGAGGCTGCCTCTGGATCTCCAGAAAGACGTAAGTGATACCTGGCTTCGTGGTCAGTGGGGGATGTCAATGTAAGCACAGTGCGGGGATTTTGCAATCAGGTTTCTGAAAGGCAGCAGACATCAATGTCTAGGGAATCTAGGGTGCGCGCTAGAGCGGCTTGATGTCCATACTGCATCAGTGTTTGAATGTTGAAGCACGCCAGACAGAACGAGGATCGGGGAAGAAGGAGAGCCATAGATTGAACTGCTTGGTCTGTGGCGCAACCGGAATCGCAGCCAGATTGTTGAACACATGAATCGGGTAACGGAAAGTGAGGATTATCAGCAAACAAACAATTGGCGTGTGATGAAATCGCGTGAATGTGAGAACCAGAAACAGTAGCTGATGAGCACGTTGTAGTACACTCCATTGTTTTGTGAAAGGGCGTGATACTACCCGGTTGCCCAAGCCGAAGTTGGGAGTTGACTAACGGGACTCTACTCCGAGCCCTTGGCTAAATAACCTGCCCGCAAGGCAACGGGGCGAATTTAGGGAATCGCGCCCATTGGGATGCGTTGACTGAATGTTCAGTTCATGCGCCTTTGTCTGGTAGATTAAGAAACAAGGGCCCATTTAACCCATGAAGTCAGCACAATTGATGGAACACAATGCCCACCGAGGTGGAACATTGTCACCGAACACTTTGCAGGAACGGGATAGACCCGAACCACCTAGCTGGCACCATGCGGAGGTAGTTCGCCAAGCCAGGCAGACGAAAGAAGACTCCCTTTTGTCGGCAAAGATACCGCAGGTTCAAGAAGGCAGCTCTGGCCTTTGCAATGCGTGAGCTGACGTCAGCTTCTATGCGCCCATCGTTGCTGATGAACCTGCCAAGATAAGTGAATTGAACAACCACCTCGAGTTCCTCGTTAGCAAGCGTCAAGGGGTCATCAAGTGGCTGGTGGTCCTGCAGCAACACTTTGCACTTTGAAGGTGCAAAGCGCATACCAGATAGTAGGACCACTCTAGACAGTCTATTCAGGGTTGATTGCGCCGCCGCAACATCGTCGAAAAGCTAGACCATATCGTCCGCATAATCTAGATAAACTAATCTTTCACCAGGCAGCACTTCAACGCCTACATCGTGAGATTCCGCAAGGAAACACTCCATGATAGAATCCACGACGAAATTGAACAGACATGGGAAATCGGACAACCCTGACGAACGCCACTTGTGGTCGGAAAGCTATCCGATAGGACACCGTACACCCTGACGCGGCCTGTAGTGTTCGAGTATAGAGCACGTAGCATGTTCACACATTTCGTGGGAACACCTTTCCGCGCAAGTATTTCGAACAGAATCGATTGATCGACTGAATCGAACGCACTCTTGAAATCGAGGAACACAGCCATTGTCGGTCTGCGGTATGCGTGGCGCTGCTCTAGTACCTGCCGCAAAGTGAATATATGGTCTATATAGCCACGCCCTGAGCGGAACCCGGCCTGCTTTTCCCTAATCCGAGATTCCCGTCCCACAGTGAGGCGACGAACGAGAATCGAGGGCAGTAATTTTGTCACAACTGGCGTTAGGCTAATGCCCCTGTGGTTCGCACAGTCTGTGCGACTGCCCTTCTTGTATATTGCCACTATAATCGATTCGCTCCATTTAGCCGGCACACTTCCAGTTACGTGCGAATAGGGAGGTCAGCGCTTTACACAGAACCTCACCTCCATCATTTAATAGTGCAGGTGGGAGGGCATCCGTGCCAGGAGCACGAAAACGATTGAGGGCTGTGATCACGTTTCCGACTTCGATCTCCGACGGAGGCTCTAAATTAACCGTTCATGGCTCGTCCCGTATCACCTGAGTAGGAAGAGGTCCGGGAGCAGGGATCCAGCTGAACTGATCTTGAAAGTGTTCCGCCCAGCGAGCTATACGGTGCTCCTTATTGTGTATAAGTGCACCCGCGCTGTCTCTGATTATCTCACTGACGCCCGGTTTCCTGGGACCACTGGTGCGGATTAGCTGGAAGAGCTTGCGGTAATTGCCTACTGCTCCTATCTCCTCCATTTCTTGAACTCGACTGGTCCACCAGGCTTCCTTGTCAGCACGTAGGCTCCGCTGTGGTTCACGCCTTATAGCCCATCTGGTCACATTGTGTTCAGAGCCAGCCGGGAGGTTTCTTCTAGATTCCAACAGGTTCA